GGAAATGCTCGGCTAGCCGGCTCCCGCATCTCGCAGACATGTGAGCACGTGGGCTGGCGACGGCAACTAGCATTTTGGGTTACTATAGCACTGCTGTTCTGCGCCTACAGCCATTGTGGTCCCTTCCTGTATGAATACATCCAGGCTCCAACAGATCTCGCTGAGCAGATGCTATCGGGCAACTCCACCACCAGCTACAGCAACCTGGTATTTAAGCTCTTCGCCATCCCAATATGTAACAGATGAAGATGAGATCAAGGAAGATGTATATGACAAGGAGAAAAACAAGCCCAGCTGCATCCAAAAGCTGCAAGATCCAGCTCTGCTCTGACAATGGCAGGCCATTGTCAGAGCAGTGGTGGCAGCTTGGCCCTCACCCCGACGCCGCAGGGGTGCCTGGGTGCTCCCCGGGGCGCAGCGTGACACCTCGGGGACGAGATCCTATCAGCCCGGGGTGAGGGAAGAGGTGGGCGCCAGGCGGGCGCAGGTCGGCCCCTCTCTGTCTGCTCAGGTGACAGCACTGGGGACACCAGGACCCCCACCTTTGGGAGGGCTGATGCCAATCCAAGACAGAGCCTGTGCGCAAGCCACGGATACCTGTGATATCTGTCTGGGCATCCTCAGCATCAGCTGCGGCAGCCCTGCTCTTCCTCTCCAGTTCTTTCATTTCAGGCACGTAGAAGTCCCCTTGGCGGGCGAGGGGACACACGAAGTAGATGCGGTCCTCCTTGTAGATCTCGATCCGGGGGTGGGCGCACAGCTTCCTCTCCTGAAAGACAGCAGGTGACCACAGGTCAGGGATGTGCCGTCGCCCCCGGCCCCAGCAGCCCCCCACCACGTGAACCTGCCGGCCCAGCAGCATCGCAGACTGACCCGTTTTGCCCACAGACATGGGGCCCCAGCGAAGAGTGGTGGGTCCCATCCCAAAACTGCAGCTTTCCCTATCACAACAGCCCCCCGCATGCCAGGGCCAGCGGGTTCAGCCCTGGGGGTGAGCAGCCGGCCGGGCTCAGGGAGGAGATGCCAAAGCCCCAGGGAGACTCAGCTCCCCCGGCTCAGCCTCGGTTTTGGTGTGCTCATTTTGGGCTGGAGCGAGGGGTTTCGGGGAGCCCAGCAGCTGCTTCGCAAGGACCTGCCAAGTCTCTGGTTCCTCCTGGCAGCACGGCCCCACGAGCAGGCGTAGCACTTCTCCGCTAATTAATATAATCCAGAGCCGACAGCTCAAGCAGCTCCTTTCAGAACGGCGAGGGCAGGGGAAGTGGGAGATGAATCCCTGGCATTTCAGACAACTCCCCCTCCTCCTCTTCCTCACCCTACCTCCACTTCAAGACCTCAGCCCCCTCAGCCTGCCAGGGACCTGTGACAGGGGCATGTCCCCCCCAGGTCATGCCCTGGCCCATGCCGAGCTGGGGCTGCAGGGACTCTGGGGGTGCCGGGGCCGGGCCGAGGAGCAGCTGGACCCCTCTTGCCACCCCCTCCTCGCCCGCCTGCCCGCCAGCTGCTCGCTAGCAGAGGGGGCGGCTGATTACAAGCCGGGTGAGAAGGGAGAGTGTCTCTTCAGTGGGTTTTCTTTTTCTTTCTTTCCCCTTTTCAAATCACTGACAGCTTTTATTTAACCCTGCAACCACCCCGATTATCCTCCTCCTCCTCCCTGCCCTGACTATCCTTCTCTTCCTCCTTGATCCAACGATCCTCCTCGTCCTCCCTGCCTCAACTATCCTCATCCTCCTCCCTGCCACGTCCCCCCTGGCACAGCTTGCCCAGACATCCTCTGGCAGGGTCCCCGTCCCTCCGGGG